GTGTTGCACTATGGCATAAACAAGAATGACAATGCACTTCCAGTCCTTGTTGCCTAATTTCCACATCATAGAAAGATTGTTATGGATATCTGCTGGAATTTGTCAAATGACGTCATTTAGCTCCACTCAGCTAATAAAAATCCCAAAAAGATTTACGAATAAATGAATTGAATGTTTTGTTGTTTTCAGATTAATTCGTGAACAACATTACACAACCTCTAAAAATGCAACTTCCAAAATGGTAGCAAGCCAAATATGTTCCCCCTTTATAACAAGTTCAATTTGCTCATATTCCTCATTTATTAGATTACTACAATATGTGACAATTAGTTATCACTCATAAACTTCAATTAACTTAAATTAGCCGTCATTGTTTGTCGATGCATTTCACCAAATCTGACATAAATTTCAATTTCTATGGGGCATACGTATGAAGCAAAACAAATAATAACAATATTTAAATTTGCATTGAGATAAGTGTAATATTGATTTTCATATATTACAATCATCTCAAAATAAATTCAATGATTTTGGGACATCCAGATGGAAATTTGACCTGAAAATCATGATCCAAGATTTTTTCTATTAAACCATTAATTAAATGAACAACCCATTATGGTACCACAAATATTTATGCATTTGTTAAACAGCTCGTCCATTCATTTCAGTGGAACAACTCCATTTTATATATTGTGCTTGGATGCGCTCTAATGTGTGAAACATTGGTTGGAACAAAGTCAAAAATATTAAGGTGTATGGTTCACGTGCTTGCTCTACCAGAAATATATAGGTATTGACAGCCAATTATAACTGAACAAAAATCATACTACTGCAATCACTGTAAGCTGTTTGGGCACACCTCAATCAAATGCTTCAGGCTTCACCCACATTTGAGATCGGCAGATCCTAACAACACCATCCATGTGGAGGAAAATATAACAGAAGCTGTTAATCTTTCAGAAATGTTGAATGAGAACTTAATTCATAAGGCTACTCCTCACCAATCAGACCAGCAGCTTCCGCCTACTGTTGTTGAGAAAGTTCTTCCTCAGATTATAGATTCTACAAATTGTGTTGTAGCAAATGCTAGCCGAAGTGGCTTGGATCCACCTACTGCGAGAGAAAATGGCACTCATGTTATAGAGGAGTGTCAGGATCAAGGTGTGCTGCTAGGGCTGTCAAAACGGCTCGTTGTTCGCGAACAGCTCATGTTCGGCTCGTTCGTTAAGTTAACGAGTCGAACACAAACAACACGAATCAATATTTATTCGTTCGTGTTTCGTGTTCGGCTCGTTTTGACTCAAAATACTACTAGTATTTTTAAAAAATTTAATTGACTATAATGCTACAAAGATTTATAATCAATTAAAAGTATTAATGAAGAAAATACAATAAAAATTATTAAATTAGATTCAAATGATGTTTTAAATCTTGCCCCAATCCTTAGCATCTTATGGCTACATGATTTGACTCTTTGTTCGTGAACGGCTTGTGTTCGGCTCGCTAAATAAACGAGCTGAACGCAAAATGAACACGAGCACACTTTTTGAGCTATAAATGTAAACGAGTCGAACACCAACTGAGCCTGGCTCGCTCATGTTCGGCTCGTTAACACCCCTATGTGCTCCTGGCTGAGTCAGATCAGCAGTTTACCTCCATCGAAAATCTACCTATTGTTCACACGAGACTTCCTCTGACAGATGATTGGCAGATTTACAAATCTAGGAAGAAGAAGAAAAAAATATCAGATCTCGGTAACTCTCAGAATGACTATATCATTGTTTCGGGCGAAAGCCCACATCTCAATATGTTGCTGGACTCCATCCCTAGATCTATAGAGGAAGGGGCAGTGGTAGATCCGCCGACTACACCCACCATGATTAGGAGTTGTTTCTTTTTGTTTTATTTTTGGGGAATACATTTGTAATCCCTGTGAGTGGGATCTTTGTACCCACTCACTACAACATATGTATCCTCTTTTTTTTTATCAATGAATATATATATATATATATTACAAAGTGTGAGAGAGCCCAAACATGGCACCCTGCCTACTAAAAAACCACAAATGGTTTCAAAACTAGAAAAAACAGAAAATGCATTAGATACTTAAATAAAAAACCTCACAGTGTCGAAATACATATTAGGTGGCTAGAGAGCGACCCAATTTGGTCTTGCCTCTACCTCTAGTTCTAGGAAAGGAGCAAGCTAATAAGCTGGTAAAATGATTGTCATTGTCAAAAGTAATCAATGTATCATCCAATATGTTCCCGAGCTGGAGTGCCTTCATTCTTCTTCTTCCTCCTGGAATAGACCTGTCATTCCTCTTCCGAAGAATCAATCTGATGGGGTGGTAAAGCTGAAGCAGAAGGAATACCAACCATAGCACCCACAATAGGTTCTAGTATATGTGAAGTATGAGTTGACTCTACACCGGATATTTCCTAAAGAAGTGGAGCTGCGAGCCTCTCCTGATTATCAGTATGAACACTATCATTGTAGGTAATAGTCCATTAGTATTGTTTTCTATCGGGTTTGAAGGTGCCAACATCACATCACTCGCAGTAACAGTAACAGCAGTGTCATGAGGGGGTCCTCAGGGGCAACAAACACCACCTGCCTGGTAGTATCCTCCCCAAGTGGAACTGAAATGCCCAGAGCAGTGGGGTTAGACCCATCCTTATTCACTTGAACCTTAGTTTTCAAATTAGAATGGAACTTGTAGCATTTATCAAGGATATGACCAAACATCTTACAATGGGTATAATATGGAGGTCTGTGTTCCAAGACGATTTGTTGTCAATATCCATTGTGGGTTGTGCCCAGCCAAACTTCGGTAACATCCGGTAAAGTAATATCCCTTTCCACAAATATTCTGGTCACCGAGGGTCTGGTTAGGATGAAAGTAGGCAGATCTAACTTCAAAGGGTCTCCTAGTATGACACCAATAGAGTAGAGAACCTGATGGTGAAAAAAATACAGCTTGAGACCATGTAAACTAAACCATACCGGTACAGTGGGAGTTTCATGATTTGGGTCAAAATCAGGAGATCACTTGAGTAACTTCATAGCTTTTCCTCTGATATTAAGATATTTCTTGGAGAAAATTCTGGTGTAGTCTTCCGTCAGATCAACACATATCTCTCATTCATATATATCACTTTCCACTTGTTTACTGATTTAAGATCATCTACGCTTTTTCTGATAACCTCCATAGGTGGGTGTCCTCGCTGAAATTTTCCAGTAAGAGCAATCTTGAATTTTTCTGTCATTGTACAAATTTCTGAGTCAGAGAAAAAAATTATTGTTTTCCCACATTTCCTACTTCCCTTATTAACAAAAGGACAATCATATGTGCCACCGCGACAGTCTTATAGCTTGAGGGGAATACCACCGCGGACTCCACCTGAGGGTTTCCCACCACGTGGGCCAAGGAAGCATTTGTTAGTTTAGCAAAAGAAGAAAGAAGTGTCATCAAAACAACCAGTTGTCACCTGCATGGAGAAGCTTGTGTCGGGCTAGAGAGAAAGACGGGCGCAGAAACAAAGCAGAAGGTCGAGCCAGAGAAAAGCATTGGCGCGGACACGAATAGAAGAAGCGTCAAAAATGAAGAAAAGAGTCGCCGGACACGGAAAGCAGAGGTGCAGCGTCGTAACTGGACGTCGACGCAGAAAGATGAGCCGCGAAACTTGCAGCTCGACGAGGTCGACGCTCAACGCAGAAGCCGGCGAGAACGAAGCCGCAGAATCCCTATGTCGTTGTCGACGAACACGGAAAACGAACGCAGAAATCGTCGTCGAGTGAGAGAAGAACTTTCGGAAAGCCAAAGATCATATCTGGGAATCGCAATCGGGTATATATATATATATATATATACACAGGCTGTGGCTTTGAAAAATAAGAGTAAGTTGAGGGAAACATAAGTCACAACCTTATATATATAACAAAATTAACAAAATAATTTCTCTTCATAAGGTAATATGTGAGTGGCATGGAGCAACAGGAACAATAAGAATAAGTTGAATGAAGATCTATTTAAGCTCAGAAATCTGATGAATAATACTTTGGTTACTCGGGCAATGGTACTCACCTTACCAATTTATTAGCCAGCTCACTTTCGAGAACTAGAGGCATGAGGAGTAAAGTGGGACGTCCCTAGCACTTTTGTGCCCTTTTGTGGCTTTTGCTTTTTTACCTTTATGATATTTGTTTTATATGGGTTTTATGTGTGTTGTATTATATGAGTTGGGCTTTCTTTTAGGCCTTCTCATACAACATTTCTGTATCTTTTCCGTATTAATATATTCTTTTCCGTATTAAATTAATATATTTGCTCTCGGGCTTTTTCTAAAAAAACAAAATGGAGAAACAGGAACAATAAGAGTAAGTTGAGGGAAACACTCCCACACACCAAAAAGTTTAGAAAGACTAATTTTCATAAATGCATGAGATATTAAAATCAATGTTAGAAAGAAATCATATGACATACAAGCTTTATTTTGCTTTAGCCATCAGGAAGAGTGTTATGGGAAATAAATGAATATAGATAAAATATAATAAATAAGATAAGCTATAATTAAGATATAAGAATATTAAGCCAAATTGAATACATAGGTTATCATGATGGTTACAAGTGGTGAAAATACAGCCAAAGCCATGCTAAATGTATGAAATAATGGTTTTGCCCTATCAATTAAATGCTTGAAGTGTACTGGAGCAGGATATAAAATTATATCATTTCTATTAAAGAAGTTATGATATGAAAGGGAAAAGGTCAGCCAATCAATTAGTTGAACGCCTTTAAAATCATATAAGTAGGATCCCCCTCCATCTATAGGTAGTTATGAAAGCTTTCAGAAAGGCACAATGAGATTTCTTTTAATTTTCAATTGTGCTAACTTCATATATAGAACGTAGATGAAATTGCAATAATAAGATAGTAAAGGGCAGGGCAAGGAGCCAAGGACCATAAGAACTCATAAATATTGATGTTAAATTCTTACCTTTGCTAGCGAGCACGAAAATGATTCTAATTTTCCTTCTGCGCCACGGTAAAAATGAAAAAATGGAAGAACTCTTACATTTAGCCTTTTGCACATTGGCTTATTCTTATCGAAGTCAACTTTGAGAAATAAAATATCTGGATGCTCTTCAGCAGTTTTGCAGAGCTAAAATTTAACAGAAACAGTCAGAGAAAACAGATTATTTTCTATTGCCCAAAAAAAAAGGTATTCCAGAGCAATAACAAAATGAGGTAATTCTGAAGAAAAAGTCTACCAAAGAAGGCTAATGATAATGATTAAAGAAAATCCACATTCAGTCAATCTTACAACATGGCATAAAATATAAGTAGAACCTCAAGCATATCTCAGATGGATTTATGAACATAAGATATAATTAGCATAAAGGAAATTTACAAACATACCACATAATTCTTATGTATTAGCATATCGAATACGCGAACTTTGATATTTACGCTTATAATACATTGGTGACATGGCCTTATACATGAAAAGGTTTATTTCACTTCAAAAAAAAAAAAGTGATGGTGGTATCTTTGATGTGATTTTAAAAACTTGAGTGGTATGCATGTAAATATGAATGTTTAGGTGTTATATATGTAAATACGTAAAAATTCTGTTATATGAATGTAAATGCCCCTAGCATAGAATCACATTGGGAGTTCTTCACTGGGATGGAACAAGAAGAATATACAAGCATCTACTGATGTTGTAAAAAGCGTGCTTTAATAAAGAAGCAGAGCGATTGCCCAAGGCGTCGTGAAGCGAAGCACTGCAAGGTGTGTCACATTGCTACAAACTTCATGACAAAGCGCATATAGCAAATTTTGCATCATTCAAGGGTAGGGTTCGGTACCCAATTCCCATCGCTCACCACATGAATTAAAATGCCAAAAGGAACAATTTTATCCAAATCTCTTGTTGTTACTGCTTGGTCTAGCAATGCCCCTCCTGATAGTACTCTCATGCTGTTCAATCTTTGATTTCTCACTACACTGCACTCCTCTCCCACTCTCTTCAGGGCTATCACAGACCTTTTCTGCTATGTTCTTCTAGCCTGACCTTCTCAATCTCTTTTGATATTTCTGAGTCAAAGTGAGAGATTCACTAGACTTCACAATCTTATATTTATTTCTCGGCTCTTTGGACCTCATCTTCAGTCTGTCAATTCAATGATGCCACTCAACAGATATTTTATTGTTGTCTCGATCATTCTAACTAGCTCTCAATTTGGTTTTTTTTTTTTTTGTTGGTACTTAATCTTTATATATTTACTTTTTTTCAACCTCGGTGCATATAGATTTTTTGGCATGTCTATGAGTCTACTCTTTAAACTTTGTCAAACAATTTTCAGACATAATTTTTGTTTCTTAGTATACAAATTAAATTAAATGGAATGTTTGAGGGTAGAAGAATGAAAGACCTAACATAAAAATACGTGCTAGTTGTAGAAATAAATTGATACCGGAGTTAACCTAAACAACAATAAGATAAGCTAATATTACTAAAAAAGTAAGTAAGATTACAAGCACAAACACTGTAAACTAGGAAATAACAAAGACACAACATAACTCAACTAGGGATTAGATAGAGGGAGGAGATGCTGCGATTTACAAAGGAAAAACTCACATGGAAGTGAGGGAATGGTCGGAAGGAAGCAAGGGATGGTTACGGTTGGTTGTCAAATGGTAGGAAGGTGGGCGGTCGCAGGGTATGGTGAGATGGTTTGGAAAAGTCAGGTAAGCTCACAGCAGCAAGAAGAGTTGTGGGGCTGCGGCTGCGTCGCTGAACGGCTGAACAGCGATATGACAGTAAGGGAAGGGCTTGCAGGGCAGCGGCGGTGATGTCAAATGGAGGGACAAAGGTAGAACAACCACAAAAGAAATGAGTGGAGGGCTGCAGCAGTGAAGGTGAAGGTATGGGACAGCGAAAGCAGCGAAGCAGGTTGCTAGGACAGCAAGAACCAACGAAGAGGAAGGGCAGTGGACTGCAGAACAAAAAAAGGGGAAGGCTGCCTCGGGAATGCGGTAGCAAGGGTTATGGTTGTAAAGGTTGCTGAGGAGTTAGGCAAGGATAAATATCCCTGCATGATCGAGCTACAGCGGGAGCACCTACTCTCCTTCGGATACAGCCTTAGAAGGGAAACATCGGCAACCGATGGCTATCCAAAATAGAAACATACGCCAAAAACTGACTTTCAAAGCCTAATTCAACACATATATATGAAATGACTAAAAAGGAATGAAACATAATAAGAAATAAAGCATTAAAAAACAAACTATTTCAGCTGCCCGTCTCCCATCTTCTGTGATTTTGAATCTTGCAATACTGTAGCAGCTACAGTACCGTGACAAATAATGCGGGAAAGCTCACACATCAATCTCTTGGGATTAGAGAGTTTTGGCCTCATTCGTCGAAACTTTTGTTTGCATGTTGAAATTAGTAGAGTTGTTGGTAAACTTCCGAGGTTAAGGGGTCTTCGACTGTGGTCTGAGAAGCGCCTGGATCCCACTGGAGACTGTGTCGTTCTCAAAAGCACCCGAGAAGTTTTTACCATTTGCGAGCAAACATCCATATCGGTCCAACCATCTGGGAGTATCTTACTAAGCTCAACGGGGATTTTGTATCAAGTGTATTCTACTGAATTCTACATAAGCAACCTAAGGTTGGTTAAATCCAATCTGAGGAGAGGACAATTTGAATCTTCTTGAATTGTGGCGGTCAGGGTGGTAAGTTAGCGAACATTATGTCATGAAACTCTCTTTGTATTGGTTGCCCTGTGTTTGTTACCAGCTCTTCTCTCTCACGGTCCTCTACCATCACTAGGATTCCTCCTTATGTTTCTTTGTTGACAAGGGCACCTATAATCTCGGATCCGCAGAAAGTTGGACTGTGTTTGTCATTTTTGGTGGAGTGGATCTCCACGAACCTATCATGTTGAGTCCTACGATCATATGGGCATGGTCTCCCCAACAAAAAAGTGGCAGGCATCCATGGGCACCACGTCACACCAAAACTGATCCTGCAAATGGCTCACAATCAAAAACTCCATAAGACACCTGTTAATATTGACTCGATCCCTTCTTCAACTATGTCAGGTAATACAATTGAGGATATCTTTGAGTCGTGATGCTCAACTTATCTATCATTAGTATTAATGTCACATTCTTGCTACAACCTCAATCAATGATGATGTTGCGTACCTTGCCTTTCACTATACACTTGATGTGAAAAATGTAATGGCAAAGCCACTGCTGCTCCATCACAGTCTCAATCTGTAGGAGTTGTCGAACCACAAGCATCTCACCCTCATTCAATAGAAGATGATACTCATGCAATTCTTCCGCTGCCCCTTGCTCGGAGAAAGTCACAATTTGGCTCGGCAACTGGAAGCGATGTCCAAAATCATGACATATGAAGCATTTCCTGGCGGATACTATAAATGGTGCACCACTCTTCTCAAACTTCTTCTCATTCAAATTGGTTTTGTCCTGCTCCTGACTAGCTCGTGCCACTCACTGAGGCGTACTCCTCTTGAGGTCTCCAATTGTGGGTGGTTTTCTGACAACAGTCGTTTGCTCTGCTTTTATTGTCTCTCTGTTTTAAACGCTATGATTTGCACATCCCGCAGTGTACAATAGGATTGCAGTTGGACCACATTACAGAAGATGGACTTCAGGCATGAATCGCAACATTTACTAAATATATAATTTATCTGTGAGAGTATACGTATTCATATCAGAATATTATTTTCATGGACTAACTTCTCTGTTTGTATGTATCCATAATGTGGGAATATTTGTTTATTTAACACTACACCCGAGCGCCGGTGTAGCGGCCCTTGCACAATTGTTATTGTATTCAAGTCATAAAGCTTGTGGCCTCCAGAGGACGCCCTAACATTGACCCAATAACTTAAAAGATTTATGACATAGTTTTTCAAACAATAGTTGTCAATTACCCAACGCAACCACACACTTTTTACACCTGCGGTTTGAGTCCCGACAATAATAATGTTGCTAAGGTACCACTGCATGTAAAAAAAAATTATTGATATTAATATACTTAATTTGGATAATTTTTAGACAGTGCTCTCGTAATGTTTGTATATATATATATACATATATATATAAATGATAAAATAAGACATAGCAAATGTTTGTAATCATCTTTAATTGTCCTATTAGAGAGTTTAAATCACCAAATGCTCTAATGTTGATTCACATTATGTTTTACTAGCATGCATATCATTTATTTCCCGTAAGATTATTGTAGTTTAAAAGTAGCGGTACTCACCGTTTTTTTCAGTTCATTGTTGTGTTAAATTAACTCTATCAGGTTTAAGTTTTGTTTAAGATGAGTAATAAAGAAGGAAATGTATGTAAAAGCGTGGACAACCTAAACTAAGGTAAATTTTATTATTTGTTCAATTTAATTTGAAATCATTAGGGGCGCTTTCATTATTTTGGATTTAGAATGAATAATGGAATTTTAATTCCACAATCTTACAATTTGTTCCCATCGTAAAAAATCTCAAGCCTCGGGTCCGGTCATGACAGTGGCTCACTCGGATGATGAATGATGTTTGAAATGCTTATTTTGATGATAACTAACATAGAAGGATATAGAGGCAATTGCAAGCTTAGAAGTAGATTAAAATTGAAGAACTTCATCAATATACTTCCAAGAGAAAATCACGAAGCCATGCTCAAAGAATATATATATCAATAATCTCTTGTTAAGTAAGCATTAACAAAAGCACGACATGAGATTATTGATTAAGATGAAGTGAGCGATAAAACCCAAGTTTCTTCTATTGATTCAAATAATAACACCATGTTTGAACAAGAATTTGTGGTAGAAAGGGCAAATGAGAATAATGTGAATTATAATAATTATGATCCAATGATTGACTTCAATAGTTCATTTTGTTCTATATTTTTTCAATTTTTGGAGCATTTAATATTTGACAATTGATTACATTGTTAATATGAAACATCTTAAAAAATTTGTTTGTACTTTATACTTTCCAGTATGACTCGCATTATTTATCTCTTTAGTTTTTCCCTTTCACTTAGGTTGTTTATAAGCACATTGTTTAATAATTTAATATTTTGTTAACTTAGTATAAATATTGTCCAAGTTTAATTGTTCAGCAAGAAAATAAGTTCTATTTATATTTTTTAAGCATGCAAGAATGAGATAATTCAGAATTCTTGTTCAAATGCTCTTTTAAGGCAGGCATGAAACATTTCTTGAGTTGAATTTTTTTAAAATTGATTGCTAGTTGTCGGTAATTTCTTACATTAATATCTGGCAAAAAATTTCATGATCATTTTGTCGTAATCATTTGTATGAAGGTTGTTGAGTGGCATAATATTAGGCAATGTTCCCTCTGATATATGCAATTCAATTAATGAAAGAGCACATTTTATTCATGCTCCAAAAAAAAAAAACATTTTGCAAATAGTGATTGCCTCTTACGCATTGATAATCTTAACATCTAATAATGGAAAGTCATGTTGCATCAAGAATACAAAAATAAAATGGGTTCATATGTAATTTTAATGTCCATATAATTATATATGTACATTCTTGTATTCGTGCATGGGGCTAGAGAGGTTAACATGACTAAAATGGATTAGATGATGAAGATTATCATGAAAATGAAGAGAACAGAATAAACAAGCCAAACCTTGGGAAAAAGTGCTCGGCAGGAACCACACCAAGTGCCATAGAATTCAACAACAACAAGCTTATCACCCGCTTGGCATAATGCTTCAAGAAACTCCGTTGTGGAATGAATATCAATCATATTTGGTCCAACATTTCTCTCCCACCACTTAGGGCCATCATTTTCAGCAACAACAGCATGAACCTAGAAAAAAATAATTAAAAACTAGAAGCAATTTAATAGTATCATTTCAAGTTCATAATGACATCATGAGAGTTCATGGAAATCTACATTTGGTAAAGGCCAATCAATCATGAAAATAGAGAAGTGAGTCAACAAGAGAGAAAATAGCTCAACTAATTTGAGATGGACATGCAAAGGGCCAATTCTTCGCCTAAATAAATTAATTAAAATCATGTCAATCTTATATCAAAAACAACTAATCCACGACTTGACTTTTGACACGGAAGCTTACCTGGACATGTTAATGTAGTTGCTATAGTACCGCGGTCCATTTTTCCTATTTGATTCCTTGCTTTTTCTAGCCCTTCCTTTTCTAGCACTTTTCCTGTCTACCTCCTTCTTTTTCCATCATCTTTCTATTTCTACTCTCTACATATTCTATCTACAATTCCTCATTATATATAGATGTTCTTTGCTTTGGTTAGAGTCAATTTTTGGTTTCCAGATTTCAGATTTTTTGTTCAAGCCAGCTGTCAGGACTACATCCCTTCTAGGGTTGTATCTGAAGGTGAGAACGTGTTCCGATTTTAACTCGTCCAAGATGGTGACCTTCTCTAAGGATTTGAGTTATGCTCGGCTGTAGCACGATCCCGCAAGGATATTTATCCTATTCAACTCCTCCAAAATCCCTTTTCAACCATCCCCTCCGCGTTGCTGCCCCCAGACAGCCCTCCCTTTGTTGTCCCACAGCCCACCACCCTTCCCTTCGCCGCCTCCATCACCGTATTCAATGCAAACACCCAACAAACACCCTCGTTGTTTTTTTTACAACCTTCTACCACCTAGCTCCCTCCCAACTTGTTGTCACCCCTCATTGTTGCCTTTCAACACTCAACCAACCCCTTTCCTGCCACTTCTTTACCGTCCCAGCCTCACGAAATCCCTTCCCTGAAACATAGCTAATGTTCTAGCCTTGTAGAACAAATTTCCTGCCACCTAATCGCTGCCCCAACCCATACAACGTCCACAAAACAGTTCACAACCCCTAACCTTCTCCTTACAGCCGACCGGCACTTCCCTTCCCTTTCCGTTCGTATCCATGACAAACTCACAACCTCTTTCACCAGTCACCGCCCTTGATACGATTTAATCGTGCTTGTTAATGTTGTGCATTTGTTTTTGTTTTTTCTTTTCATTGTGATCATGTAACAGCTTAATTGCTTCGAATAATAATATTTTTTTCCATTATAGTTTGGGTTAACTCCGGTATCATTTGGTATTAAAGCTAGCCTAAACATAGTCTCATCCTAGAGTTTCCTAGCATCTGTCACTATCCAAGCCACCTCCACCAAAAATTTTCATTCTTACCACACACCAAACAATAGCCAAATTTTAACATAACCCTAATTTTCCTTTATCGGTATTCAAAGTCAGCAACCCAAAATTAAATTTTCTACACTTTCAATTAGCCTCATGCTCCCTCTTTCACCTACCAACCCTAAACCCTAGTCATTCCACCAAGAAGATACATGCTCAAGTCTACCCCAGAAGAGATACAACGATAGATAAGCCGACTTCAGCGGTAGATATTGAGGATGAAACCCAGGGGAGATTACTCTCAACCGTGAACTGAAGCGTCGAATGGGAGAACAGGAGAATTTGAAGATGAAGCGAGAAAGATAGCACCAGATCCTACCAACTTACTACAGACAGAATGTGTAGATCTTAACTTCAAAAGGGTACACTACATCACCAAGCAATCACCCCCTCTTACAGGCAGAGTTCGATCTCAGGATCTTACAACCGGAATACACCTAGAAGAACACCCAAGATGGCCTAGTCCGAGGAAAAATTGATTCAGAGTGGAGAACATGTAGAACCAATCTGCATCCATAAATATATCGCAGTCAAAAAATGTTGCAAGTGCCACGGATTTGGGCATAGTGAAACGGATTGCACAACCAAGAGAGTGATCGCTTTCACTAATCAGGGAGCGGTTTAAGAACTAAACGGCGTTCCGCTAGAAGATGGCGACTTCAAAGAGAATTCACAATTTTTAGCCAACGAGGAAGAGATGTCATCGATTACAGATGTCCCCAAGATATAGATTCTGATTGAGGTAACAATAGTTATTTTAGAAAATAGTGACTCTAATGTAATGGGTGTTCCGGCAGAGAACGAGATTGTGCGCGCCAAGCTAGCATCATGTAGTTGTTGAGAGGAACATCAGTCGGGCTAGCCTGAGATGTCCAAATGGGCCATGAGTTTGAGGAGTCGCTATCAGATACAAGGCAACCCAAGATAAGAAAAATTCAAACCATTCAGATCTATAGACTCATTCATAATTGCACCTACTGAGGGAGGTCCAACTCGTCTGAAAGGGAGCCCTTTTGTGCAACGTCAGAAAGATTACATAGAGTTATTCAGATTTTAGATTTAGTTCTACGTAGTACCCATCATCAGATATCCAAATAGAAGAGATTAACCTCATCCTTGAAATTTGTCTCAGGAGCTTGATGGGAAAGGAAATTCTTCAAAGGGATCCAAGTTCTATCAATGAAGAAGAAGATGTCTCTTCTGAGTGGTTGCTAGTAAGAGTGGTGCAGTCTGCTACAAATTTCATCACTAAGTTGGTTTTGTCTCACATACTTGTTTATCAACTACATTCTGCTAAGCACGAAAAGGAGAAGCAGGTTTCAAACATAAGAGCTTGAGAGTTACAGTGTGGAAATATACATCTATATGCAACTCCAGCTCAAGATGTGTCAAAAAGGAAAGCATAGTTATTTTATCTAGACGTGTTGTGGAATGACGACGCCTACAAGATCGACATGTCATGAGACTACAATATTTATGCTACATTCAATGATGTGGACCTAACTAAATACTACAAGGACCCTGAAGCTTCGACAAATGAAGTCGAAGCTCCCCCTCAACCCCAAGGGATTGACGCAGGAGCTTACCGGAACATGGTATTGTAGTTGCTACAATACCACGGTCCCTTTTTCATATTTGATTCCTTGCAATGTCTGGTTTTCCTTTTCTAGCACTTTCAGTCCCTTTTTCATCACATTTATATTTATATTCCCTAAGTATTCTATTTACTATTTCTCACTATAAATAGGTGTTGTTAGCTTTGATTAGAGGCGGGTTTTGTCTTCGGGATTTCAGATTTATGTCCAAGCCAATCGTCGGAGTTGTTTTCCCTTCTAGGTTTGTATCCGAAGACGAGAATGTGCTCCGGCTATAGCTCGTCCAAGGTGGCGACCTTCTCCAAGGGTTCGAGTGATGCTCCGGCAATAGCTCGATCCCGGGAAGATATTTATCCCATTCAACTCCTCCAAAATCCCTTTCCGACCATCCCCCTCACTACTGCAGCCCCCGAACAGCCCTCCCTTTGTTGTCCCATAGCCCACCACCCGTAACTTCGTCGCCTCCATCACCATGCTGGCTGCAGCCAACCAACAAACACCCTTCTCGTTGTTTTCTTGCAACCGTCTACCACCTAGCTCCATCCCACCTTATTGTCATCCCTCGTCGTCGCCTCCCAGCACCCAACCAACGCCTTTACTGCCACCACTGTTTTCCCAGACTCACGAAATCCCTTCCCCCACATCCTATCTGTTGTTCAAGTCTTATCAAACCAGTTCCCGACCACCTAATTGCTGCCCCAACCCATACAACCTCCACAACGCAATTCACAGCCCCAACCTTCTCCCTACAGCTGACCAACCTTCCCTTCTCGGTGCACTAACGGCCAACTCACAACCTCTTTCACCGATCACCACCCTTGGGATAAGCTTTAATTGAGCTTGTTAGTGTCGTGTGATCGTTGTTGTCTTTCCTTTTCGTTGTGACTTTATAACTGCTTATTTGCTTTGAATAATAATATTTATTTTTCTGTTGTGGTTTGGGTTAACTCCGATATCACTTTCAATATTCATTCTTATCTATCTTATTAGTGCTTGCATTTAAAAGTTTAATGTTAATAGTGAATGGCAGACATATAATCAAAAAGGTAAATCATAAAAAATTTAAAAAAAAAGGAATTCAATGAATAAATATCAATTAAAAATTACAATTAATTAAAACCTGAGTGTAATATGTGCTAATCTTTAAAAAAGATGTCAATAGTTTATTAATCAGATCTGATTAAATTTGCACTTTTTATGGTCTTTTCTAGGTATATATATCCCTAAGTTAAAGAGTGAAACAAGCCCATATAAGAAGAGGCAAGTCCTAGTTTGAGGGAAAGTATTGGCTGAGTAGTGAAAGTTTGAATAGCTCAAACTAAGACAGAAGAAATGGCTGGAGTATAAGGAAAATAATATGTGGCAAAGCTCATTTACCCTTAAATAAAAATGAATAAAAAACAGAAAGCATAGGATAACCTCGACTTAAGAGAACAGAGATCCCTAATCAAGTGCGTCAACAAGGAATAGTTTTATTACTCATCAAAAATAACAAAGATAACTATATAAACATTTGGTAAGCCATATCAGGTAAAATATCATAAGTCAATAAAACAAATGCAGTTCAACTAGATTTAGCAATGAAAGAGTCTCACTAGTTATGCTAACCTCAAAAAATTGTTTTCTTATTCACACAAGTAATTAGATAAACTAAAATAAAAAAATAAGGTTGCATATGCCATATGCATTATGTGCTATTGCACACCAATAGCACAATTGTATGCCCTATTTCACTTTGCTAAATCTTTCCATGCAAATAACCCAAGGTGTGCATTACGCTATAATATAGGATGTAATGTGCACTACTTAGCAATATTCACACGAATGAGTAGAAAAATAGAAAAAAATTTAAACAGCCCAACATCTAGCCAAAATATGGTTTATGCCTGATTCATTTCTAAAAAGTTCTCTCTCTACGTCAAAAGAAATTTTAGAAATATAATTTGATCATTAATAGTGAAAGGTATGATTTTCTGCACTAATTATGTATGTATGAATGTATATAACGTTTTTGTGTGTATAGGTACATACATAAATACGTAAAGAGAG